CGAAGTCATGCAAATAAAAGTACTTAGAGTTTATAGGATTAGGTATGTTATTTTCTATGTCAGAATTATCGAGGTAAGGTATGCCAGAAATGTTAGACAATACATCAAGCGAAGGCAGGAATTCATTATGAGGTGGTATTCTACAGTTCATAAGGCTATAAACTTCAGAATCATCAACAGAGGAAAAAGGAAACATAGAGGCAATACAGTGTTTACAATACCATACCTCATTACTTAATTGTAAAAGACAGTGATCATTTAAGGATAGTCCATTACATTTTATAGTGAATCCAGTGAAGGCAAATACTATAGCCTTATCATTCCTGTTCACAGCTCTGGAACAAATTCGACATGGACACTTGTGGTTGGTAGTAGCAATGCTACTCATTTAGTAATCCGTTCATATATATAGGTAATACGATTATCCAAGAGAATAATTGGCACTAGTTGGTCTGTCCTTGATGATTAGTTTATCGTAGGAAAAGTAAGCGATCTTGCCTCCTCCTTTGGTCGTTTTAATTTTGCGAGAAGTTTTCTTCGCTTCGCGATTGTTTCCTCAGCAAGATCTTCATAAATATGGACTCCATGAGTCTTGATTCTTCTAGCTGCTTTAAGGATCGCTTCTCTTTCCTTCCAGTCGTAGAGTTTACATACGACTGTTTTCGGTTTTGCCATCCCATCGGGTTTCTTGTCTTTTCAAGTTCGATGTGTACGCGCAATTGCAGGAGGTGACTCCATCTGCAATTTTTCAGTGAACATCTCCTTCACTTTGACTTCCGTGCTCTCCCAACTTTCTCCCGACACCTCTACAATGCCTTCAATACGGACGTTATTTCTACGGCTTTGATTTTCGAGGTAAGTTGCTTTCTCGAGCTGCTTCGCGCCAAGTGTTTGGAGCTTAGTGATCTCCTCAACCGCCGACTGTAAATTCGTATCAAACAAATTAATATGCGTTTTATGGTTTTCAATATCCTTCTGGCTGAATTCTAGACTTGCTTAAAGGTCTGAAACTTTACCTACAAGATCGTTGACCCTCTTAGTTTGACTTGACTTACAATGGATTCCATGAAGTTCTTGAACATACGCTCTTGTAATTGCAGGAGTTCACGAATACTAACCGAGACGAACTCGGCATCTTCGCACCCTTCCACCGCTTCAGCAGAACTTGATTTCGAACTGGATATACTTTTGCTGGGAATTATTAGAATAATTAAAGACAAAGTGACGATAACGTAGATGAAATATTTAGTTATGTCACATACGAATGTCGGAAAAGGTCACTAGAAAGCGGGAGGCGAAGGGAACACGTCCGCCCTTCCCGCTGGCAGTCACTGGTAGTCCCAACACCGTATCTGGAAACGTTTTAACTTTGCCTGTTGCCACACCCCGCCACACCGAACCAACCTTACGTGCTACAAAGCACCTATAGCACGTAACAAACAGTGCCAAAAAGAGTACGTGCTTATTAGAAGTCGCTACACAACGTGACTGCCTTGAAGAACTATTCTGTTTTGCAATTACGTGGCCCTTGTACAGACCATTCATTGCCAGTAAGCTCATTGTCCAGTCTCGGAGGACTATTTTTTACTGGCTGGGTACCCTGCAGTTTATGCGGGATCTGTCTACATTTTTCCTTGCGAAGCGAGGGCCGAGTCCTAACGGAAGCGAGGTTGATAGTTTTCATGTTACACGGAGGCAGACCCAGTGTAACCTTTAACAATAACAACAGCAGCAACAACTTTATTCTTTGTATACAGGAGTTGGATAGTTTGCCCAGCAAGTAGCTGGAAAGCTAGTCGTGGCAGGGCAAGACTAGTACATGAATTACATCTACTAAAAACAAAAACCTTAAACTATTACAAAGCCTTGCAGATTGTAACTTAGATAAATAAAAGTAAACACAGAAGTTCTTCAACCGCAAAAGTTAAAAAACCTGGTTGGGTTCCGTACCATGCCCGTGATGTTTGTTCAGTTTGCATATGAACTTTCCATTTATTTTCTATAAGTCGGCCAACACTGGCTAAATATGCTTGTTTTGCTATCCGCATTTTAAAATTTAAGATAGACGACAAAGAAGCAAAAAGGAAAAATGAAAAGAAACAACACATAGAAAAAAAGGGTCTATACGATAGGATATTTGCGGCTGCATGGTCACCCATAGAAATCCTAACCCACACACCCAACAAAGCCTCTAAAACCTGAAACACTGGAACACACCGCACACCCGAACACAACGGAATCTCTGGCATTCTGAGTAAAGCCGTGATGAAAAAAGACAAACACAAAAAACTTGCCCTAATCTGTAAAATGCTCATAAACCTTTCTCTTTGGTTTTTTCATTTGAATAACCTTGAATTACTTTTTTTTTTTTTTCATTTACCCTTATTTTATTTACAAACATGGCGAACACATTTCCACATGCGAACGACCGCCCGGTCCTTGGCCTAAGCAAAATATACCGCTGGTCACGGAAATAACAGAATCGAATTTCAACAAACCAAAAGTAACAATGAAATGAAGAAAAAACAGAAAAAAACTGGAACTACAGTTCTCAAAAGCCCGTTTAGACGGAAAAAAGTTGCAACTGTTTGAGTAGAGAGCAGGAACAAGTACGAACAGTTCTAAGCGAAATATAATGGTTTGCACGCACAAGTTTTGACCAACGTGAAATAGACACCAATTATACTTAACGTGACTCCAGAGTCCTGGGTAGGAGGAATAAAACGTTTACACGTTGTCTTTTGGAGAACGGCATCCAACAGAACGGTATTAACCGAATGAAGAGGGGGGGGGGGCGTTGAGTCTTTGAAAGGGAAAAGAAAAATGCGGGCACCCAACCGATATCCGTCCACAGCTGTCTAGGGTCTTTTTTGGAATAAAAAAAGCCGGGTTGCGCCATCCAAATTTTTTCAATCTTGTATACGGGCCTTTTGTTTTTTCTTACCTTTCTTACGAACGATCCAGAATATGTTGCTTCCATTCACTTTAATATCATTACATGTAGTTTTTAAAGCAAGGCATGGTAAGAGTTAAGTCATTTACTTTGCAATTTTGTTTCTCTTTTTTCCTCTATTCAGTCGCTCCTTGGCTTGATAAACCAAAACAGGATCTTGAATTTGAAAGGTTCAAAGGAGACAATGTTTCGTTTGAATGTGGAGCCAAAGGATTTCCTCTTCAGCCTGTAGAGTGGAAGTTCCAGAAAATCGGTGACGAGAGTACACTGTCTTTCAAAGGTGCGTTTATGAATCATTACTTTAAATCATTATCTACTGAAAAACTATGGAAGTCGTTGAAACTGTGCTGACATGGGCTTCAAAGTCCATGGGCCTTAAAGTGAGAAATAGAATTATGCCTATCCGTCTGGGAAAGATTTCTTGGTGAAAGAAAAATGTTAGCTTGATGTTCTAAACTAAATAAGTTCGCGATTGATTATTTTATTGAACAGACGCAAGTATATAGCGTAACAAGTGTATCTCATTGCCTACCGGGAAACAGTCGAAAGGACGCTATCCGTAAATCTTGGGGTGTGTGATACAGTGCCTTTTAAACAATAACTTCTCTTGATTAGATCATTACAGTCGAACCTCCACTAACAGCCACCTCTCTACAACGACGATCTCTCTACAACAGCCTCTCTTTTTGTCCCGGCGGACAAACCATACATTGACTCTTGTTTAAACCTCTCTTCAATGGCAACGGCCACTAAAGTACGTCCCCAACTGCCAAAATAACCTCTCGACATCGGCCAGTTTTTTAAGGGACTTTGAAAAAGTCATGAATGGTCATGAAATTTGATCCTTATCGTGACTTGATCATTAATCGCGGCAATCGTATTTTGATTGTGTTGCAGTAAGCATAACTAAGTGTTGAATGTCGAATGTCATCATCATCATCATCATCATCATCCTCGTCATCATCATCAACCACTTACAAAATAAAAAGTAAAAATAACATGCAACAATAGGTATAGAGTACATAAAATAGAAAAAAGTTTACACGTCCCTATCAAGCTAATGAACTAAGGTAATTCTTCAGGTGATTCTTTAATTCGGCAAAAGTCGAAATATGAGGCATATTAGGGAGGAGCTGATTCTGGTCTCTAGCAGTTCTTGCGAAAAAAGAAAACTAGAACACATCTTTCTTGTAGTGGGGTTAAAGAAGCTCAAGTCTATGGCTGCTCATACTGTAGTACAAATCTCATTGCTAAAATAAAAAAAATCGTTAATCTTAATGTCAACTAAACCATAAACTATTTTTTACATAAAGATCAAACAAGATCTTTAACTTCTTTCTATTTCTTTTTTGCGAATCTTGCTCGTTTTGTCACGTTAACATTGTGATTTTTGGTGTATTTTATCTGTATATATGTAATATATATTGGATTACCACTATGGGGTATAGTAAGCATAAATTTAGCACAATCAGGAGCCCATAACTCGGAGCAAGCAACTCCCATGCTAGGCCTATGTCACGGCGCTTTTGCGGACCAGTTTATTTTTAGACACATTTTAGGGCACTTATTCCCGCAAAAACAGAATCTCCACCATACCTATGAGCGCATTGGAAGTACAAGATATCAAAAAGGAATAAAAGTATCATTTTTAGGTCTAAGGGTTTTCTTGACTGGTTTGTGTCCTGGCACAATAAAAACATGTTTTACCCCCCCCCCCCCCCCAAAAGGGACAGGAGAAAAAAGAAAATACAAAAGGAAAAAAATTTTCTTTTTTTGGTTATAGGTTTTTCTTTCTGGTTTGTTGTCTCAGCCAATAAAAAACATTTTTACCCCCCCCCCCCCCTAAAAAATTGTCATATTACACCCCTACCTCGCCACAACGCGAACGGCCGCCCTTTTTCTGTCCCCAAGGTGGCCGTTGTGGAGAAGTTCGACTGTATTATCATTATCATCATCACCATCATCATCATCATCATTATTATTATTATTACTATTATTATTATTATTATTATTATTAATTGAATAATCGATTCATCATTTTGCAGACAACAAAGTTGGAAAATATCTCATTGAGCGCAGTGGGATCTACAAACCTTATGTCTTGACAGTATTTGACGCACAGTACGCTGATTGTGGAAATTATTACTGTTGTCTTCCGTCGAACAAGTCGGATAATGTCTCGTCTCTTATGTCAAACGACTGCCAGCGTTTTGTGCTATGGGTGAGAGGTAAGCATCTCGAATCAATGTCAAAACAGTCTTTTTGGTAACATAGAGTGGTAAGTTTTCCGGCAATGGTAAAATCGAACTCAGCATATCAAATTCTTGAAGCCGATCAGATATGGCAAAGGAAAACAGAAATAGATTTGCGGAAGGACGCGTAAATCATGCACACATAACAATTTTTCCGAGTTTGCGTTTCTTTTTTGCATTTTATAAAAATGGTGATAATGATTTTAAAAAGTGATACGTCACATGAAAAGTTAAAAGAGGTCATCCCGACAGGGGATCAAAGTACGATGATAGGTTATAAGCAGAGAATTCAAACGCAAAGAAAAACACCCACAGTTGTCCTGTAGAACTCAAAGTCTACTCTGCGTTAATCATTCTACACTACACTACAAAACAAATAATTATTCGGAAAATAGGCGGATTACATACGGTTTGAGCAAGCCCGGGCAAGGCAATACAGCCTTTTCTTTTTGCCAATGACGTCATAATCGAGGCCCCATTAAGTATTGACCTATCTTTATCTATGACGTCACCGTGACGTTGGATCCACAAGATCCACCCTGATCCACCCGACTAGAACCCTTATTTTATACACTACTCCCGCCACTTAAGCAAAACTCCAGGTGAAGTTATGGTAACGGCCCAGAGGGTGCTACCTTACCAAAAACCTACGTATGTATGGGAAGGCTTCGCCCGAAAAGGTCAAAGATTCCAAAACAAAAAACGACAAACATATTATTGTCTTGCAGAGGCCTGCAGAAAAAAACCTGAACTGGTCGCGATCATCGAAGGTGGCGCCGAAGTTATCCGAGGACTTGACGAAAACATCACGATGAATGCCTCCCTTTCTTACGATCCAGATATAGGAACTGGAAATAATTCAGGAATGAACTTTACCTGGCATTTTGGCAAGGTTAAAGGAAACAATGATTCATTCCCGTTGCCTAGCCTAAGTAATATAGCCGTTCAATACTTTGCGGAGAAAGGTTTCGGACCAGTCGTCATCTTCTCCAAGAAACCCTTATTACTGAATCAGACTTACATTATGAAGTTGGTGGTCACCAAAGACTATCGAACATCAAGTGTGTTTCAAGTCATAAGAATGCAGAAGGGAGAACCACCTAGAGTTTCGCAAAGGTACATTTTTAGACAGTATTTCTCAAACGTATCTTTTCTGTTGTGCCAAGTAATTCTTGCTGTCATTGATTATCAATAAGCCAGGCAGTGGAAATATCCTACATGACGCAGTAAATGTGATGAAAATGGTGGAAACAATGCAAAAGTAAGTTGAGGTGATAAAATCTATAATATTTATTACCAGAGAATGCGTGGTCGGTTCAGCCTCTTTTTTTTTTCTCGAACACTCAAGGGCATTTTCAGTGGGTGGCGAGAAAAAGAGCACGACGTTCCAAGATTCATTCGCGCCTGTTGACTGTTTCAGGGTATCCGCGGATTTTTATTAAGCTACCTAAGGGCAGCTACAATGAAATCTGGGGCGAAATCTAGTCTCACTTTGCAATAACAACTCAGTGATAAAAATAAAAAGTTCAGTCTGGCAACTGTCACTATAAGCACTATTTTTATGGAGTCAATCCAGTCTCGAGATAGTATCACACCGACTGTTGCATCAACGCAATACCGAGTCACAAGTGTAAACTATTGTGACTAATATTATTACCATGCCCTACAATGTGTGTATTTATTTTTTATACTTAGCTGTCTTCTAAATTGTGGAGTTCAAACAAGTCCGTCAGTTAGGTTGAGTATCAAGTCACAGTGCCAGGGTTCTCAGTGCTCCAAAATATTCTCCTACGAATGGACGCTCTATGAACAGAACAAGTCAGCCTCAAATACTGATCCAATATGGCGAAGGGTGAATATATTGCAAAGCATTACAACTACTCCGCTAAACTCAAGTGACATTGTCATAAAAGAAAACTCGTTGGATGGGAGAAAGCACTATCGATTGGTGTTATTTGTAAGAACTAAGGACGGTATTCTAGGATTGAGTGCTTATGACATTGTTACTGCTACACCACCTTCAGGAGGAAGGTGTTTGATCATTCCGTCCAGCGGCATCTCATTAAAGACTAATTTCAACCTGAGCTGCAGCGACTGGGTCAGTGACGCTACCCCTCTGACGTACCAGTTTCAATATCGACTGGAAAACGGTCTGTACAGTATGGTACACTACGGAGTAAACAACAGCGTTATTTCATGGCTACCCCCTGGAAACCGATCACATAACTACAAAGTCGAGTTTCTTGCTACTGTAACTAATAGTTATGGAGCTTCTGCATCGACTGTTAATCTTTCTGTCCGGGTGAGTTCATAGCTTGTTTCGCCATGTCATAGGTCGAGTCGTTCAAAGTCTTGATTTATAACTATAATCCTGAACAAAGCATTTGAGTTGAAATGTTAACAAACAGCTAACAAACCCTAGGTCTGACCTAATTGTCTTTCAAGCAAGTTGATCCTGTTTGTTTCCTAGCAACGATCAAGTAACCGTTAAAAAACTAACTGGGAAACATTAATGATCACACTGCACACGGTTCACGGTGAAGTCAGCGGTATTTTAAAGAAGCCCACAACCATACCACCCCAGGAGTCATAACAGGTTCTTGCGGTCTAGTTAGGCCTCATCATTATAGCATACGCATGCGCGTCCGACTCGCCCCACGTAAGATAATCCAATAGTGTCTTGGATTCTGGATTCCGCCCCATGGATTCCGGATTCCTGGTACTGAATTGCAGATTGTTTGTCAGTGTGACTTGGAATCGGATTTCAATCGTTGATGGAATTACGGATTTCTTAAAGCTGTATTCCGGATTTCAAAACCAAGGATTCCTAGCCTGGCACTAGGCTCCGCAGTTGAGGAAAGGCGCACAAAAAAAATCGGGAAGGGAAGCGAGCCGAGCGGTAGTCTGGCTGAGGGGAAAGGGTGGAGGAGCCTGTAGATATGCCTTTGATGCTGCCGTTCCATGATACGAGATTCTGGTATCATACTCTGATTGGTCAAATGTCTCAAAGTTGACAGATTCCCATGCTGTTGACAGGTGAAACATCCCGTTTTTTTTGGGAAAGCGTTGTGTTTTTAAACATTGATTTCGAGCAAGCAATAAAAGAAAAGAAAATTGAGTTAAAAACCGACATTCAAAAGACACAACATTATAATCATGCTGCTACAAAAGGCGTGATGAACACCAAAAACTGGTGGATTTATTTAAAGAATGCATGTTGCGTACAGCTAAACCTTGTGCACTGAGATGGCTTTTAGCCACAACTGGGCATGTACGGAGATAACAGCGGTAGAGAAAAAATACTTATCACTTTTAGGCGATTTTGAGCAGACTTATCTTATAGAACGGACAACATATTCAACAGAAATACCCTTGAACTGAGTAGTCTGTCGCTTAGGGTGCTAAACATTTTTCATCCGCTCAAATGATATTAACTGCACCGAGCCATATTTTGTTTGGTAATCAGAAGTCATAAATCAAGAAGCTATGTCCACGAGCATTATAACGCACCTATCGTACAATTAGTTACAGTGTAAGATCCCTAAAAGAGTTTTTCTTGTTGTAGTAAAATTTAAACATATTTCAAAGGTTTTAGGACGGTTAAGATGTAGCCTGTCACTCCTTGCAGTTTTTTCACACGTTTTACTCTTTACGTGGTTGCTCAATCTCTCATCGAGGGATCCTCTTGAAGATCTGTTCGGCTTTTCTTCACCACTCACAAATGGCGTATTTTCCTCTGAAACGCTTTTAGTTCGCTTTGCCGAGGCCGTTGTTACTTCATTTGGCGATCGAATTGAAGTAGATCTCTTAACACTCTATTTCATCCGAGCGAATTAATTTTTTTTCTTACAAATGCGACATATAAGTGATGGAAAGTTGAAGTATTGACATTTCAAAGATTAATTGTTGGAGGGCGGATCGGCGGCATCAAGTGCATGTCTCCAGGCGCAAGGCTCCGCCGCCCTTTCCCCCTCCCCAGAGGGTCTGAATGGGGGGGTCCACTTGTCGGTAGTCGGTTAAAATTTTCGATCTTTGTCGGTAGTCGGTAAAACTTTTTGATTTTTGTCGGTTGTCGGAAAATCTCAGTTAATAAGTAAAAACGCTGGTTAATTATTAATATTTTTTATGTATTTCACCCAGTTTCTAGACTTTGATCCCTAAGGAAAGAGTAAAACTTGTAAAAAAAATGCATCATATGATTGCACTTAAGCCCATTAACTCTTGTTTGTTTATGCAACATGATCGTTTATTTCACCATTGTTTGCCAAATGAATATCATGAGTACTGATAAAATCACCAAACCTTTTATTGTAAATGCGAACTTGGTTTCCCTGTCGACTACAGGGCAAAGTAAAAAGTAATTAATTAATGAATGGACTCCAGCCTTTTGGGTACTTAAATTGTTCTTAGTGAAAAACTGCAAGGGGTGACAGGCTGCACATCTCTACCTTTAATGTTTCGGCTCTAACAAGCATGTCCTTTGCCAAAATTTTTCTTTCTCAAAGAAATAACACTTTAACCCTCGGACGTACAAGGAGTGGGGGGCGGGGGAGGGTGTGGATGTCACCCCCTCTGGGATTTTTCCACGAGGATAAAACATCAGCACCTGACGTTTTCAGTAGATATTTGTTTATCCCTTGCACGCATTTTGAGACAAGTTAAGTGATGATCAGTTTCTATGGTTACCAGGTATGACGTAACAAGTAGCAGGTGGTCAAGCCAGTTTGAGTGAATTCAACTTTTTTCAAAAATAAAAGTAAATCTTGTGGCTAAAATCATGCAAAGTGTTATTTATGTGTTATTATTCACGTCAAGCAATTACCATTTCTCGCTGTTTTAATCTGATTTCTAATTCTTGGTAAAATCCAAGATGGCGGACAAGATGGCGACTATTGTTGGTCACGTCATAGGCCTCCAGCAGCGCCACCATTCATAAAATATACCTCATCTTGTTAAGAAGATCAAAGGCTTTCCAGTGAAGGCAAAATCGCTTCGAAATACTGCAACATATCAAAAACTCTGGGGAGGGGTTCCATGTACCCTCCTCTTGGCGGGGGGGGTATGATTTTGCGTGTACGTCCGAGGGTTAAGTGGCAAGGTAGTTGTAGGTTTTGTATGAGGTTACACTTTTTCATTAAAGCTTCTTTTATAATACACACTAAGGGCTTGTATTGCGTCACGAAAGGCAATATTTCTTTTTCTTCCTTATTGTTTTGTTTCAGGAGCGTTGCTTTCCTTCTGTGAATTTTACTTCTGATAGCAATTTTTCTTTCAAAATTGTGTGGCCACCCTCTGTCCATCAACCGCTTTTTGAAATCTGAAATACTTCCTCAAAGGAGTTTTTTCGTAGGGTTCTCAAGGCTTCTTGTTTGTCAAATCCATTTTTTTACAATTGGTGGGTGATAACAGGTGAAAATGCATATGCTGGAAGGTTTTCCGTTTAAAATGCGTCTTTACGTCAATAATAGCTTTTTCTCATTTTTCGTTGAATGTTGTGCCTTGGTATACAACCGGGTCTAAAAAGATTGTCTCAGTGTCAGATATTTCGGCCGTAAATTTCATAGCCAGTAGAGCGGTAGGGTGAAGTAAGTTTACTTGTTCCGTGAATTTGAAGAAATCTACCATGTTTACTTATGTCCCATAGGGAAAAAATATCATGTAGCGTTGGTTAAAAATTTAAAGACGGTTTTGCTTAAAATTTGTGTTTCAATATATGCGGCCATGAAAATGTTGGAAAGGAAACTGCTGTATGTGCTCATCGCGGTACCGTGGTATTTTTTTTTTACTGATAGTGCTTTCCATTAAACTAGAGCGAATTTTCTTTGATGATTAATCTAAACATTCCTCGTACCGAAACAAGAAACGTTCAGTTTTTTCACCTTTGTCTTTTCAATAAAATTTATAAAGTCGGTAGCATCTTTAAAGTGTGTCTTCTGTACATGTGATTATGATATTAGTTGTAGTAATGTACCCGTATCAACAAAAGAGGAAGTTCTTTCTGTTAGACCATCTGATGAGTCATAAATTTAAAGAAGTTACTTCCTAACGGCTAGAAAAAAATGCAAAATTCTCTTTTTTCTGAAAACAAATATTGATAATGTCAGCCCATGTCGGTAGTCGGTTAATATTTTTCCTGTCGGTAGTCGGTAATTTTTTACTCGTTTTGTCGGTAGTCAGTACTATTTTTCGCCCTTTGTCGCTAGTCGGTTAACCCCATTCAGACCCTCTCCCCAGTCTGCCGCAGATTTTTTCTCCGTTTCACTACTTTGCCAATTTTTCCCCACAGTGGGGCCTGGTCCCGGGCTACGGGCTAAGGATTCCGGATTCCTTAAACAAAAAAATTCTCGGAATCCGGATTCCCTTACATATACATGGGCATCTGACCGTCTGTCCTAAGAAATTTGATATTTTTTAAATATCGATGTTACACACTGGGAGTGAAACTGAGACAAAGTAAAATACTAAGTCATCTGTGCATAACGAGCCGCACCGTCTTAGCAACCAAAAAAATTTTCTTTATCTAGCTGAGATAGGGGACTAAAATCTCAGCTGGATACTCAGAAGCTTGTAACATTCACTATTCCATTTATCTCTGATCATATTTCGCATCTAATACGATAGAGGCGTCAATTTTCGCGCCATCATGTCATCATTCTAGGGCGAGAAATTTAATTAAAAGGGCGGCATTCAACAAAAGTACGGCTCAGGTTTCGGCTAAAATTATTCAGTGCCGTCAAAGAAAAAAACATATTATTAAGGTCTGCGTATAAAGTCGATCGCACTGCTAACACAGACAAAAACGCTTAAATATCTCCTACAAAATGAACGGCTGAGTTTGTTTGTTCTACGGGTCAAACTGCTACTATATATCCCAGAAGCGCTCAGGCATAATAATATGCCAGGACTTCTACCTGGATGAACCAGAAAGGATATAGAACAACTACCTATTATTTTCCTTTTTACGGCTACGGGTCGAAACGCTAAACGTGTTATATATCCTAGAAGCGCTCAGGCATTATAATACGCCAGGACTTCTACCTGGATGAACCAGAAAGGATATAGAACAACTGCCTATATTTTTCTTAAAGCTACGAGTCGATATGCCAAACGTGTTATATATCCTAGAAGCGCTCAGGCATAATAATAACATGCCAGGACTTCCACCTTGATGAACCAGAAAGGATATAGAACAACTGCCTAAATTTTTTTTTACGGCTACGGGTCGAAATGCTAAACGTGTTATATATCCTAGAAACGCTCAGGCATAATAATATGCCAGGACTTCTACCTGGATGAACCAGAAAGGATATAGAA